TGTTTAGTATAAATAATCTTTTATCCCAGTGTTCACACAACCATTTCACAAATTGTATAGACATTGGTGGGTGAAGTGTTTCCTAAAAAGTGGTCACTTCTGGGGCAAAACTTGCCAGTTGTTAAATAGTTTCCCAGCAATGTCACTCTGTAGCTTAGAATAGGAAGTGAAATGAATCCCTATCCAATAGAAATTACACGAGAACTATATGAGACCCTTCCCACTCGTGCCAAGTTCCCAACCAGTCAGGGAGGAAATCAGCCCAGTGCAAACTCACTTGTGGAAAGACGAGCACTCCAGCTGCTACCCCTGGGGCTATGTCTAGACTACGCTCTATTTTCGAAAGAGGGAATTTGCCTATTTTCTTCCAATCTCAGTTTTGAAAGCAGATCTTTCGAAAGTGAAAATAGTCTGGACGCATTTTTTGGGGGGAAAAAAACCTTTTTCAAAAAAACCACACTTCCTTAAATAATGCTTACGCAGTTTTTTCGAATGGTTTATTTTTCCCCCAAAAAATCACGTCCAGACTACTTTCACTTTCAAAAACTCCACTTTCAAAAGCAAGATCAGAAATTGCATATCCTCTTTCGAAAATAGAACGTAGTTTAAACGTACCCTGGGAGTCCCGAGAAATGTGCACAACCCACAGCAATGTGTGGCTCTTCTTATTCCCCCCCCCCCCCGCTGCTGCTTGGACTTTTCCTTCCTTTTCTGCCACCCTGCCAGCTTGTCCCATCCCAAAGCAGTTGGTGCTGCTTCTTCTGAGTGAACAGGAACTCTGCATTTCCTGGTGCTCCTTCTTCTGGCCTCCTCCCCTGCTCACTCATGGTGTCTTCAGCCAACCCATGCTGTGGTAAACTCTCACTCCTCTCCTTTTTGTCACTGCTCAAATAAAGTGAGGGAGATACATAAATTAAAATATGAAATTGAAATATTTCACCTCAGGCTGGCAGTGAACTAGCAGAATTATTACTGTTCTTATTTGTGGATCCCATTGGTGCTTACCAGCCCTGCTGTGTAGTTATTGTAACATGGAGGGCAGGGAGGTGGTCAGCCATGGTGGTATTAACTTTTAATGCGTTGGGGACACCTTGTGCTACCACGTTCTGTAGTCACATTCAAACAAAATGTATTTTAAATTTTGTTCTTTAGCATCTTATGTCTTTGCCTGTGCTCCTTTTAGTGATACTGATTTTCTTATTGAAAGTTATTCATTAGGGACCCCAGGCAGGGGTAAGAGCCCCAGTGTGCCAGATGCTGGCCAGGCACATAATCATAAGTGTTTTCCTGCTCACAAAGAATTTAGTCTAAACAAAATATTACCCGTGGGACAATTTGTGATGGAAGGGGTGAGGCTCTGAATATATGACTCTCTATAAGAGGTTCCTTAAATGTACAATGGGAAAAAAAAGCCACCGTGCAAACATAGGTCACCTAAGTTAAGTATGTTTTCTGCCTGTCAGTTTGACAGCTGAATGATTTTTATGGTGCTTACTTAGTATTGGAGCGTGACAGAGAGAGCTAAACTCATTCACCCCAGCTTGCCAAAGCTTTAGTACAAGACATATTAGTTATTACAGTAAACTTCCGATAATCCGGCACCTTTGGGACCCAGGGGGTGCCGGATTATCAGATATGCCCGACTATCAGAAGGGGGGGGCTATGAGGGGTCAGGAGTGGGGGGGATGCCACCCCAGACCCCTCATAGCCCCCCCTTCCGATAGTCCGACTCTGCCCCAGGCATCCCTGATTCAGCCCCTGCTGGGGCAGTTT